GGGTTCATTATCATAACATTCCTTTTCTTTTCGTGAAGAAAGAACATCTTGGTACATTTGACCTATCGCGTTTAAATTTTTAATTGCCGCTTTAGATGAAGTAGGCTCAATATTTAAATTTTTTATTGTCGCTTTAGAGGAAGTAGTTATAATGTCAGTCTCTATATCCTTATAATCTTCAATAAGGAAACAACACCACTGAAGAAAATATTCATTGTCTTCTGATATGTCATTGTCATTTTCTTCATCACTGCTAAAATCTTCTAAGATGTCTTCTTCATTGTTAGAATGTTCTACGATCTCTTTTTTATCCACATTCATGATTAATTTAGTTTCATCGCCATTGTCATCGTCATCTTGGATGGTAAATGTAATTCCATAATGATATGAGGAATGCAGGATAGATGCACAAATAACGGAGTTTTCTGGCAAATCTTTCGGAACTTTTGACGAAAATTTATAATTTTCTTTGCACTTAGATGAGTGAATACCTAAAGCCAATACAGAGATATTTCGTGTGTTTATACTAAAAAATCCAATCTCAAAGGGTATTCCAATCATAATCCAAGCTATCTGCGAATTTACGAAATTTCTAAAAGGTGAAATTAAAGAAAATTAGATTTGTTCATATATAAAAATAAAAAAAAGTAACAAACGTACTTTGCATCAAAATTTTCAATTATTGCTGAAAATCCAGATATAGTCATTGATTGAAACCTAATAGCTAATGAATCTATCGGTTCACCATTTTGGGTGACAAGTTTTCCAAAAATTTTATAATTATTGGAATTCAAATGAACGGGGAATTTTATACGATAGTAATAGGTAGAACCTTCAATTGGAATTACTCCTGTCATAAGAATTCTTTCCTTAAGTTTTTTTGTCTGATCATCAATACCAAGTATAACTTTAATTTCTTTTTGTAATTTTTCATCCAATATTTTATATAATGGATATAACCCTTTCCAATTTATGACTTGCCACAAGTCGATTTCACTTTTTAAACAAGAGTCAACCCATTTATTTAGTTCATTTCTCATAACCTTATCATTATTGGTTGATAATAAAAAGGATACATAAAAATCATTTTTGTCTTTTATAATTTTATCATTATTGTTTGATGTATGTAATTTTATACATTTTTCCCATTTATTCAAAATGTCATCGTTACACGTTGCAAAATCATAATCCGTGCCAAAATCTTCCCAATTTGTAAATTGTTCTGGCGAATCTTCCTTCATAGCTAAATAACATGATCTATATAATCTGTGTCCCAAAATGATCTTTTTTGGTAAAAAATGCCCAAAAATTTTAAATATTTTCAATAATTCATGATAGGGATTGTAGTGTTTTAATGCCTTTTCTACTGCATCATTTAGCTTGTCTAACGGTTTTAATTTTCTATTTTCGAAAATTAATTCTGCTCTTGGACACAGTAATCCTAGAAAAACGGATGATTTATTTGATTCATTTGATAAAAGATCAATTTCAGATATCCAGTCATAATATTCTGAATCAATATCAGAAGGATCAATAAAATGATTTAATAGAAATGAATCTTTGCAGTTTGTCGAAAGTACTAGTTTTATTTGTGATTTTTCACACGGACTATAAATAGGTTGTTTTTCAGAACTGTACGCCGGCTCATCGGCAATTCGTAATCCTTGTTTGCTGATTAATAATCCATGATTTAAAATTTTATTTTTTGTTCCAATAGACATGTCTTATGAATTATTGAAAAATAGATGGTTTAAAACGAACAACTTTAGTATGCGGTTGGACAAACTAATATTAAGAACATTTGAAGTTACACAAAATGTAACTGTATTTCTATTTGAGGTTTGTATATTGATATCGATATGTGCAAAGAACTTTTTTCATTTCTAGTTATTGTAAATACAAACTTAAGACAATTTCTATGAGAATTTAAGATATTATGAGCTCATTTGAAAACGAAAAAGAAAAGGAAACAGAAAAATCTCTCGGACATGTTAATAAATTTTTCGAAGATAAATCTTCAATCCTACCTTTTTCGAATGAAATCCCAACTCAACTGATCGACAAATGTGAACGAGGATTCAAATTCAATGAAGATAAATCTATTAGACAAGTATCCAGAAAAGCACTTGATATTGACATTTCTAATTTCAATCAAACTTATCGGAAAGTTGAAGAAACTAATGAATTAAATTATGAAACCAACGATAATTGTGACAAAAATTTCACAGTTACTGGAAAATTTGAAGCAAATTTGCATTGGTTTTCTGCCTTTCTTGGAATATCATATTAAGATGCTAAACAAAAGCTTAAACATTTTAAAACATCTACTGAAAATTCTCAAGAAAGATGGGAAATGGCAGAAATCACTTTAGATTCGTGTGTTAAACCAACCAATTATTTTATTGAAGATGTAAAGAATGCATTGAAAAAAAGTACAAATTCGGATAAAATAAAAGAACTTCGTAATATAATAGAAAATTATGGTAGTTTTTACGCATTCAAACTTGTTTTTGGCAAGGCTATAATCAAAACAAAAATTTCTTATAGTAGATCAGGTAATTATGCTGTTTTTTCTTAACACTAAATTGGTATTTTACTTAATTTATTGTATTTATGAATTATAGAGGATGTTTCAAAAGTTCATAACTCTGAAGCACAACTTGGGGGTGGTTTGACTCAACAAAATGCTGAGTTAAAAGTTTCAAATGAAGTTCAAAGTGAAGAAAAGAGTATTTACAGTAATTCAACTGCTAAAATTGAAACTGTTGGTGGAGAGGATTATACCAACTGGGAAGTAATTAGATATGATGACTTTCATATAATATTTGATTTACTTAATTGTGATAGTTATAAAGATTTATGGAAACAAATTATAGACATTTTGGGTTACCGAATTTTAAGTGCGGGAGTTGAGACTTTAAATTTTAATCCTAGAAATCGACTTCCATTTGAATTTGGAACAGAAATAACAAAAATAAAAAATCTTTCTAAATGTCATATTTATGCGTCAATAGTAAATGAAAATGAAAATATTACGAAAGCATTTTCTTTGCACGTTGATTTTGTGGATGAACATACCCCTGAAATTTTCGTTCATTTAATTAGACATAAAAAAGGCAAAACAAAAGTTAAGCATTATAAATTGAAAGTTTGCTGGATTGTTGTTGGAAAGCCAGCAGATGTCGATTTTGATATGGCAGGAACCGAATATCCAGTAATACTTAGAAGCTATAAATATAGTGGCTTTCAAAATAAAAATAATATTATGCAAATTCCTGTTGCTCAAGATATTAAAGATATTCCAAAACACGCTGAAACTTGCATATTAAGCACTTGTGTACTAGAATCTTATTCAGAGACTAACCGTTCTATTGATAGATCCAAACCTATCTTTGTTGGTACATACTTCTCATTTTATGAAAAATTTGCATGTTTATATGCATATAATAGCAAGGGAGAGGCTTCCATTGATCCGCAAATTTTACAAAGATTTACATTACACTTTTGGTAAGAAATTGTTATAATTTTTTAGTTTTGAATTCTTTAATATTGATTTTGATTTACTTTACATAAAAGTGTTGTTGATTTGGATATGTCTTATGAAATATTCAATTATGGAAATGATGAAAAATTCAAATTTGGACAAGTATATATTAATTGGCATAAAAGTGATAAAAAACGAAAATTGTCTTACGGCGTTGATGATAGAAAAAAAATCTTGCCTATTAAATGTAATGAGAACCTTGTTTTCGTAAATCAAGTGACTTATTGTTCTGATAAAAACTGCAAACATAACGGTTTTATTAATGTCAATTTGCATGAAATTATTTATGGATCATTTGATTCTCATTGTATGAATTGTGTGAACGAAGATTGCGAAGATTGCCATATGGGAAAAATTGCTTATCTGAAATTTCCATTAGAAGTTATGCCCTAATTTCTTAATTTTCTAAATTGAATTCTAATTTAGTATAACTTCTAAGTTAATAGATAAATTGATTTTGGATACTTTTGCATTAGCGCAGTCTTTATTTTTATTTGTTTTTTTATTAGTTTGGACTTTTCTTTCCGGCATATTCGGTGGTAATTTCGTCATTTCTTTGTGCTTATTTTGTGCTTATTTTGTCGCGTTTTTTCATTATTTCTTCAGTGCTTATTTGGCTTATTTCATCACTTCTTCGATAGTTCTTTCTTTGGTCATTACTTCAATGCTTATTTTATCGTTTATTCTAACGTCGTTTCTTCGGTCGCTTCTTTGGTGATTATTTCATCGTTCTTTCGTGTTTCTTTCGTTTTTCTTCGGTCGCTTCTTTGGTGATTATTTTATCGTTCTTTCGTGTTTCTTTCGTTTTTCTTCGGTAATTATTTTCGCTATTTCTTTAGTCTTATTTATTGTTTCTTAATTTGTTTATAAACTTAATATATATTGTATTATGCAATTTTTTCAA